ACTTCTCACTTTTGCTTAATTTCTCGCGATTACAAGTAGATTAGGGGTAATAGCTGCTCTAGATGAGTCTCGTTTTTGCACCTGTATTAACTTGCTTGGGTATTAACCTTTTGCACTCTGGTGACGTCAGTATTGTGACATAATGTACGTCGTAGCTCCATTCATAAAGCAAACTAACAAAGTAAATAAATTTGTAAATATTTCTAAGTTTTTGGGTTTTGAAAGTTTCTCTGCAAAAGTGTGAAAAGGGTTAACGACGCTGTACAATTCACTCTAAAATTTCTTCTGTTAATCTCAAACAAAGCTCGGCTACTTTCGGCGATGATTGTCCAACTTTTTCGAAATTTATTTCATCGACTGCGTACGTTTTAATAGCGTTATCCCTGTGATCAGCTCGACGATACGTAGATCGCGCGAACTATTCCGCTCTAAATCGTGATGGTATCGCTGGGACGTTACGTGCATCCCCGCGCTGAACATCAGCGCGCATCAACGCGCTCTCCTGCGATAATAAATTCGTCCGCTTTCGTTCTGGAAGCCTCCCCGCGGCTGGTCCTCCCGTTGCTTCGACTGGACCGCTTTCTAACTTCCGTAATCGATGGATCTACGGAGGAACGATCGCGGCGCCGATAACGTCGCGGAGAACGGCTCGGGAACCTGGTGATTTCAACGCGCGGTAAGGAAACGTGTTCGCGGGGAATATTAAATAAGCGCGTGAAACGATGACTTTCGTCTTTGGAACTTCCCTAGTTATGCTGTAACCACGTTTTCATTTTTATTTTTATTTATATATTACTTTCGGGTGAGAAATTTTTTGCAATTTTATCGCGATGCGTTTTTCTTCCTTTTTCTTCCTTATTACTCCTCCTTTGCTCTGTGCCCAGAAAATTCTTCGCAGTACAGTAAATTCTCTACAAGTGTCAGTCAGTTTGGATTCTACAAGTGTCAGTATAGATGGTCCTACGCCTAGGTCTGCATCATTGCTGCGCCTATGTTATCTCGCTCGCTGTGTCAGTCAAGCGTGTAACCAGTCGTAAAAACATAATTTCTTTAATTTTACTTTTTTTCATCTGAAATTTTTTTT